CCAGGCCCGCCCCCCCCCCCCCCCAGGAGATGTATCACCTTCAACAAGGAGCCTATTAAGTCAGGGGTAAAAAGAAAACCAAAAGTATAATATAATAAAAAGTATAATATTAATGGCTTCAAAAAAGCAAACATATTGAAACATTCTTAAGCTTTTGGTCTGACACTCCTCAGAGTATAAAACGTCAGACAAAAGATGAAAATCTTTAAGTCAGGAAACATACATATATACCCAGTTGTGGATCAAAATAGGAACACAAATCAGAAACGTGAGAGCATGTCAATGTCAAGGTCATCCAATCAGTGCCAATTGCCTTTTGAAAATATTACATGGTGAACAATTCCATCAGAGTACAGATGAATATTCCAGGTTTTATTTTCCAGTTTACACAGCTATTACCCAAAAAGCTCTATTAAGCTCTTGGGGGGAGGGGGCTTATTAATTTTTTCAGTCCTAGAAGGTGGCTTACAAGAGAGGAGGGTTATAAGATAATGGGCTTATTGATAATTCAATGTAAAAATGTTATAAAAATGCCCTTATGCAATTTTATGCTATCAAGATTTCATACAAATGTTCACAAAATTTTGCTAGATCTTGAAAAGGTTCTTAAAATCAATCAAAAATAATTTTCTCATCTTCTTCAGAGCCACTAGAATCAACTTATAACCCCTGGAACATCTTCAAAACAATTTCAACTGACATTTAAGGCAGACAAGTAAATATTTATATGAGCCCATGACTATGAGACAAATTTGGCTTTTAGACTAATTCAATCACATGCCTGATTATTTAAAACAAAACAAACCCATCTCAGCTTATCTAATGACACAACTAATTGTATATATACAATATCATGTGATCTTCACAAATACAAATTTATTTCCATAAAATATATCTTTGTAAATTGCATCACTTTTATTTAGTGATTGATAAACTAATTGGAGTTAATGAACACATTTATAAAAAAATTAAAAGGGATTAACTTTCACAGAAAATACCCTCTGCTTAAAAAATCACTGTTCAATTTTACAAAAACAACACATGTGAAATCTAATGATATCTGCTTTCTTTTTCATACTTTAATCATAAATTTAAAGACAGCATAAAACCTAACACCATTTTTTCTCAGTTTTGGCTTGCTGATGGAGTGCGAACAACCTCAGAAGTAAAGAGATCTAACAGATTTAACTTTATAACCAGAGTTTATTCAAAGGAGCTGTCTTTTAAGAGAAAGCGGTGTACAATGAGATATGGTCATTTGGATCAGACACGTAAATTTTATCTGGAAACCACTCATTGTTTCAAAAAAAAACAACTCTAGTTGCATGAACAGGAATCATTCAGATTTCAAGATTTAAGGTGAAGGAAGCGGTCCTTCCATTCTTAATGCCTTTTAAATTGAAAAAATATGGAAATCACTGTCTCCAAAAATCAGTTTTAACTGTGTAGCAGCATGTTTCAAGATATAGCCAGAGAACAAGACACTCATCATTCAACTTCAAAACCATTGACTACATGAAAATATAACTGTGCACATGGCAGTGGTCAGCAAGATGTGAGACAAGATCAAACATAGATCTAATATATTTTGACAAAAGCCATTTGCAGGACAAGTGCTTTCAAATTGAATAGCAAGCATTTCAAAATATGATGTGAAATTAGGAGAAAAAATCAATACAAAGGATTGGTATTCTAAAAAGGAAAATGGCTGTGGGGAAAAATTCAAAATTGTACCGTTTTTAACTCTTATAAATTCTGACCACATCGGCTTAGTTTATCATAGATTATTTAAAGTATTTTTTCCACTTTGTTCATATTTGTTTAACTTAGATATCATGTATATTCCTACAAGACAAGACAAAACAAGACAAGTTCTTATCATGTGTTTAATCTATATTTTTGTCTGTGTTATATGGAGCAGTCTTGTTTCAGAACCATTAGCACATGCCCCTCACTGAAATTTTCAAATTGGCAAACAAGTCACTCCTCTGTTACTTTTTTCAATAAGGCTTGTAGGTCGAAATGGCCCATCGCCAACACACTTACTATAATTACAAGTTAACATAATAAAAAATCAACAATAAATCTCAGAAAACAGCAAACAGCCAATACAAAGATAAACAGATGAAAAAAATGATTATAAGCTAGAAAGTTTATGCTACGAGGATAAGCACATAGAGGACTTCCAAAAAATTCCCGTGATTCAAAAGCCAGTGATATGAAGTTAGCTATTGATACCAGACAATCCGTATCTTCTTGACTCAACAACCAAATAAACTTATCACTGGGTAATTCTGGGAAATTTTGAATGAATCATAGATAACATAGAATTCCTAACAGTCTCATAGAGGGGGAAAACTAATCAAACATGAATTTTGTCCTCTACAGCAGTTCTATTAAAAGATTGTTACAGAAACCCTAGATCAACTACCATTGGATTCTTCCCTTGTTCTAGATCTTTTCTGTTCTGCTGAATATATTTGACAATATAAATAACAATTGATATTATTATGGCTAGGAGACAGTACATTGTAAAGATGGCCTTTGATGAAATGAACAAGCCTGCATAAGCGACAAAAGGTCAACTCTGTTTTTAGATGCACCCTCAATGCTACAATATCTATATAGTTGCCTTATTTCCATGCTCTGCAAACTGGCTCAATGTTTTCAGCATCATAGATAACAAAGGCCAGCACCATTTTCAGCACCAGGTGCTGAATAATTATATATTGTCCATTGTTATCAAAGGTGAATCTAAAATTCTTTGCCATGTGCCCTTTAAACTTCTTTTTTAGACATTACTCCATTGATGGGCATTTGACTACAAAAACAAGGAAATACCACAAAAGGCCTGTTTGTGAGTTTCAATGTCTTATATGCAGACTATAATAAAGTTATTCAATCAAAACAACATACACTCTGGCAATTTCATCAACCTATCATTTCTTCACATTACACAATCTATTATGCCCAATAAAAAAGCAACTCCTGTGCTAAATCTATTCACTTTGTTTGAGTAGGACTTGTGCCATAAAACTGGAAAATGATATCAAGGCTACTATGCACTGAAACCTAAGAACAACAATTCAACAAAATATTCAGTATTTGGCTCAGGGTAAAAAGGATGGTCTTAGGTTAAGAAAGGCTGGCTTTTAGTGGTGTCACCTCAGAGAATAAGGCTTTGTGTCATACGCCCAAAGCCTGCGAGATCACATTGTCATCACAGCAAGGATTTTTATCAGGTTGCGTTTCACTGAATTCATGGCATGGCAATTAAACAAGGCAGAATGTCTGTCAGTCTATAGCATCAAACATATCTATGGCTTGGTGAGAAAAAGCCTTGATATTCCCAACAACTGCATTGAATAACCTCAGGAAAACACAGGCCTGATTTTCGCCCAAAGGTTCAAGTGAAACCATGGAAAACACTGCTTTGTTCCTTCAGCAATAATGTTTATCTTTTGCCAAGGCCGCCTCGGAAGATACTGTTCCTTCGAGACTGCCTCAAAATTACGAGTATTGAAACTTCGAAGGTTGAAAAAGGAAATCACCTTCAAGATGGAGGATAAAATATAAATGTATAATGATCTACGACAATAACAAAACCAGAACAAAACAGTAAGAATAAAACTTACTTGGCTCGCCAAACTTTATGCTGCCTTCTACTGTTTCGATCCTTCCTTTCATCAACATCAAATAATTTAGGCAATTCACGAAACAGCTTTTTAGACAGTCAACATCAAGCAGGCTCACATAAAGATTTCGCAGCTGATAAATTTTGATAATCCTTAGGTTACAATATATCTCCTATGCCAAACTTTTCATTCGCTTAGTTTGGCCTAACAATTGATGCGTTGTTATTTCTTTCCCTAAACAGCAACAACTATCGTGTTGAAGCAACCTACGACTCTTGAGATGTATTTCCAAGCATCGACGGTAAACTGAAGCACTAAAGCTGACTCATTTACTAAGTTTTCAGTATTTCTAAGGCTCTTATAAGCTAGGAAATTTCTCACAGCTTCGTTGCATTGTTTCACCATTCCAATAAGATGCTGCGCGCGCATGAGTCTGCAACTATTCATGATCGCTGACCGACACATTTCATTTGTGACGTCATAGAATTATCGGCCTTATCAACGCCAAAAGTTTCCCATGATGCATGCGTGTTATAAATAATGAATAAACATGCATAGCATCTTCGCTATCTGTTATTGATAACTTGATTGATCTTCTCAATTGTGGTTTCTTGTTGCCTAAGTAAACCGTTTGAATATACTTTTGCACCGACCGACAGCTTATATAAGCAAAAGAGATTTAGGAAGCTGATAAAGGCCATCTTCTTTCCTGTTGTAACCAGCCCAACAACCACCTAAAATGAGGAGCGCAAAATTTTGAGCTCATCTAAATTCAACAATGCAAGTTTATTTTGCTACGATGCCAGTAAGATATGATTTTCCTAAGCACTAATGCATTTCATGCTATGGAGTCCCAGCAACGAGCTAGTTCCTGAAGTTCTGTCTCAGCATTTTTCACATCTAAACAGATTATCTCTCAAATCTCAAGGATAAAAAGCTAGACTGGTGGAAGGTGGTTGAAAGAAAATGAAATGGAAAATGAGTGTTTGACGATAGAAAAAGTTATAGTTATAGGACAT